CATGTGATCTGATGGCTCTGGCCAACAGCGAGTAGAAAGAGAGTGAGAGTGGGGTCTGTGTCTATGAGCTCAGCACTGTAAATGTACCAGGGGCTTTCCATGGTCCACCCGCAATGAAGGGAATGTAGGCTAGCTATGTGTGAGGGTATGATAAAACAGAGGAGCTGTGTGGTGAGATGGTGTCCAGGTTATATAGATTACTATCAAATTTATCTGTAATCTAGTAAACTGGATGTGGCCTTTATAATCTTGGCTAACTTATTAAATACCATTTGCCTGGCAAATGGTATTTATTCCATAATGAATGAATGATGTGCATTTTTATGCAGATTGATTTCAGTCTGGTCCCTGTGGAGGGTTTGTTGCATTTCAAACACGGCCTAACTTGATCATGCATTCAGATTTCTTTATTACAGTGACACAGGTGAAATAAAGGAGCTCATGGGTCAACTACTATTTGCAAATAAGACCAAATTTATCTCAACTCATATTAACAGGTATAGTGTTTTGCCCATTGATTGTGCAGAAATCAATGCAATGTTTTTCAGTCCTGGTGACCAGAGTCACATCTTTGTACAGTATTGAAAAACTCTGTATTCTGGATCCCAAGCAAAAATGCCATGAAAAAGATGATAACTTTCCAAAGTTGTGCACACTAAAAAGTTACAAACCCACATGTCCTGCTAAGCCATCTGTTGGGTCTCAGTGCACACTGAAAGGTTAAATGAAACTATAATTCTCCAATCATTCAGGAAACATTCAAATAATTCTAAAGAGATTTTCATGGTTACAATGCTTTACTTTCCCCTGTCTGTTGTTGAAATTATTGCATAAAAATAGCTTGGTTGAAACAGCTATTTCAACCAAGAAAGTTAAATGTTTTTCACTACTAGCTAGTTTATTAGTCAGTCCCTCACTGTGTTAAGAGTAGTTTACATTTATCACAAGAGGAAGACAGTTCAGAGCTGTTAACAATAGCTTCATGTCCTTGTTTGACACGTCTGACTGTAGTAAATAGCTGACACAATCGACTGGGAACCAGTTTCTCTCCTTGAGTCACTGTCCACCTATTATTAAAATCAAATTCAAAGAATTTTGAAATCTGAATTCTGGAAAAAAAAATCATTATGTTTCCACTGACTACCAGTAAATGAGCATGATTCAGCTGTGAGATATGTTAATGGATAAAACCCCCGGCCTGAGCGTGTTTGCTACCACATAAAGACTGTATTGTAGGGGTCATAGAGAACCACTGTCTCATATCTTTGACTATTTTTACATCGGCTCAAGAAAAATATCTATTTTGAGACGAATTCAAATGAACAGTCACAATGAAAAATATGATTTGTTCTTATTCCAGTTGAAAAAAATTTGCTTTGACCTACTTTGATAATGCAGTCCTCTTCAATCTAGTCATTATAACCCAGTTTTATCAGCAGCATCACTTGATCATTAAACTAGTATGAAAGTATTCATACATTTACTTAAGTTTTTTTTTTCTTATGCCTTACAAATTAGGGGTACCATAGGAGTTGGAGCCTACCCCTCTAAGTATGACCCCGAGCTGGAATTGGATAATGAAATGACAGTCAGGGGGTGATCAAGCCTGAGATTGAACACTGAACCAGGATAATACAATAATGTATTTAAACATCATGGTTACATTCAATTATAATTAACAAATAGAAGAACACCATCTTTAGATGTACAATGTCTTTCTTTTAACTCTGAGAAGTAAAAATGCATTTGCTTTGCATTAATCTACTGTAAGTACATCCACTAAATTATGTGTTTGTCAATGGCCAGTCTTATTAGATTTCAAAAGCTAAGCAAGGCCTGGTTAGTACTTGGATGGGAGACCCCTGTGAATACCAAGAGCCAAAGTGGGATTGCAGTGGCTCTAGTGCAAACTGTCACTTATGAAATCCTTAGGTAAGACACTTGGCACACATTGTCTAGTATGAATGTAGTAGAGTGTGTAAAATATATATTTATTTTCTCCTCTCCAGGCAGGCGTTGCAGATTTGCAACCGCTAAATTCCAATTACCTACTTACTCCACATCCATATTTTATGAGCTTTTTTTACTCGGGAGCCTTTTCTCCCATCCATGCTGATAAACATGGATGATGCAGACTGTGCAAGAATGGATAAACACAAACGGCCTGCCAGAAGTGCAAAGTACTTTTGTTTTTTACAAAGGATAAAAAAGTCAGGATTGTGTATTACTACCTCATATTATAATTTTCCCCAAATATCAGATTTTTCCTGATACTAAAAATTAATTTGAGCCTGAGAGGGTTAATGACATCACAAGGTGGAACATGGCATTTGAGCTGGAGATGTAGACAGTTTTATTAGAATTATCAGAATTATTCAAACATGTGTGAATGTTCAAGTATGTTTTTGAGGAGGTAACAGAATTCTGACATGCCTTAAAGCTCACAGTTTTGTATATATAGGCCCTTTAAAGTGAGATCAAATAAGGATGTATGATGTATGAATCAGCCACAGGGATTACTGAAGAAATATGAAAGGAGGAATCTCCTGGCAAATATGGACCTATCAATCCTGAATGTCAAACTTCAAAGCGTGTAGTGTCCCATTGAAGCAGCAGCATGTCACAGCTCTGGCATATTTACAGTACAAAAGGGAACATTCACATCTGCAAGCTTTCATTCCCCCTGCCTGTAATTCCTACTCGGGACAGGGCCATGATCACAGGCAGTCCAGTTAGCAATGTTGTCCCAAAGAAGAATGCAAACAGCAGAGGAGTACTTCCCAGAATTCCCAGTTGAGGATCTTTCTGGAATGCCCTAATGAGCCTTGTCCGCGCTGTTTACAGTTCCAGTCCGGCAGTAACCCTACAATCTTCCATGCCAGTGTATGATTATCCCAACTCCTCTGAGGACGCAAATAGTGAGAGTCACAACGAATATTCTCATACTGCAAACAATACATTTCTGCAACCCAGTTTCATAAAAGTAGGGACACTGTCTAAAATGTAAATTTAAGTTATATAATAAGTACTGCATGATACTCTAGCACTGCGCTAACTGAAGTAGGTTTTCATGATACTAAAAAACTAAATTTTCAGAGTTAATAAAAACACATTTTAAAAATAACTGTATTTTATAATATTATATCTTTTATGTAATGTTACCATGTGGTCTTATACTAGTACTAGATCAAGATCATACCAAAATTATTCAGGATTGATCCAGTTTCGTCCTGTTTGCTAAAGCTTAAAGTTTAAAAGTTTCTCTTCTAATCTTCACCCCCATTTTACTCTTAACGTGCCCTGTCCAATAAAGTCTATAGGCCAAAACTATTATTTTCAAACACATCTTGAAATAGAAGAAGGAATCAAAGACAGTCATCTAGTGCGCTTTATGCTACAGTTATCACAAACTGTTGAATATTACAATTAAAATTATGGTTTATCAGCATGAAGGTTCTTTCAGGAATGCACTCTTCTATGATTTTGACTAAAGTGAGTCCAGATTAGACAAACAGGATGACTGACATTGACATTCTTCTAAAAGTGGAAACTATGCGTCAGTAACTAGACAAGGGGTCAGAAAACGAGAGGAAGGCATGTGACACAGCTGTGTTAACTATGCTATGGGTGAGTCCAGACCTAAGCTAACATGTCCACATCAGACTCTATCTCCTTGAAGCTCTTATGCAACACAGGAATGTTGGAAAAAGACTGACCTGCTAAATCAAGAGCTGAAAAACAAAACTGAAAAAAAAAAAAAAAGAATACTTAAAATAGAAACTTAATGATTTAGCCACACTTGAATAATTCTTTCCAAAGGCCCCCAGTGTTAATTAAAAAAACAACTCCAAGCTGCATTCCTGACAGTTTCCCATCCACAACAATAGCACAAGGAAAGAGCAACTGGAAGTGATGCAGGTAACACTTCCTCAGACATTCACTAGCTCCTTGTGTATGAAAGAAAAACCTGGAAATGTGCCCTTGACAAAAACATGATTAAAAGGTAGGGGCACCTAAAGAGTGTGAAATACACTTTTGATTATCTTCCAAGAATTCCAAGTTAACAGCAGTTGTCAAGGGATATGCATAAATACTGAGTAATTTTACTACATGACTCAAAACCCAAACATTTGCAGAAGTGAATGTTGCTCAATGAGCGTGGTATTGTACCACAGCCTACTCATTTGCTCACTCAGGATCTGCTTCACTGACCTCTAGTGATGATGACAGTTGTTGCAGTCTCTATGAGTATGCAACTTGATAAACAAATTAAATGAATTATTGCAATATACTGAGTAACTGATGAGTTTCATAATCCATATGACAATTTGTTTGAAAACTTCAGCAAACAGTTTTGACTCTTGCTGTTAAAAGTAAGCCCTCTGCTTAGAGAACTATTTAGAAAATGCATTCATGAATACTTCAAGACATTTTATGCACAAATACAGAAACACATTTATTGTCCTTTGTTTTGGCTGCCATAGCAACAAGAGACCAAAAGTGTAAAAAGATCTGTGCTCAGTTTGGCCCAGTGTCCACAGTCATGCTAAAACTCTAAATCCCATGACAAAAACAACATTCCACATCTAAGTGATAGTCTTCATGGAATTCTTGTTAAACAGAGGCATTTCTTGCTAAGACTGCGTCATTGTATTAAAACCATCTGGAGGCCCGTGTGAATTCTTTCTCCATACAGTCTGATATATACGTCTGAGGACCGTATAAACTTAATGTATGTCAAAGCCTGTTATTGTTTAAATTCTGCACGTTTGAAAATGATACATCTCAAGTGTGTAGGGTGCATCCAATCACAATTAGTTTACGCACATTTATATTATTGCTAGTCATTTTATATCTTTTGCCTTTGCTGTTGTTTCATACATATTTTTTCTTATAATGTGAGTAGTAATACAGTGTAGAAGCAGTAGTCTAATCAAATGATAACAGCACTTGAAACAGTTTACCATGTAGCAATAGACACTAGTAGGAATAGTGTTCATATAGTGGTTAAATAAAAACATGTCTTTGCTATGGTGAGGTCTGTCTGTTCTTTTCATACTATTCATTTACCATAGCCTGCCGTGAACAGTACATTGACCCTGCATGTAATCTAGCCTTATCTGTGCTTATAGATGTTTTTGTTGATGCATGCAGGTCCGGTGGTCTATCACTGGAAGCAGCCTTGAGAGTCATGGAGGGGTCTGGAGATGCTATGAAAGGCCCACTGTAAGATGCCATCAAAGGAGGCCTGCCCAGAAACACACAAAGAAGTCAATGCACCTCCAGTGACATCACCTGACCCACAGCACTGATCTCACCACAATACTATTTTTACTGCCACGTTATCAAATCATAGCCCCGCCTATAAAAAAATTTTATGTGGCTGGTTAAAAGCAAAATGAAACTATTTGAACTCTGAGTGACACAAATGAGGTTGTAAATTCTTTGAGATGCAGTCATTATATTTACATTTATAATTTTGTTGACAGAATATTAGTATGGGAGGGTAACACGCCTAAAATTTATATCATAATTTTCTTAGAGCATATTTTACACTATTAAAAGATCGTATATTATGCAAAATTGACTCTTGTAAGCTTTAAGCCATTAATTTTAGAATGTTGTTATCTTATCAAAACATGTCTGGAGTAGTTTTTTGTTTCATTCACACATGTTTGAGTAATCCTGTATTATTAGTCTGTCTATATCTCAAAAGCTCAAAATGCTCTGTTCCACTTTGTGATGTTAAGAAGCAGTAGTTTTTGCAGTTAACAACTACCTTTTACCTTTAGTTCAGTACAAACTGGCAATTCCAGGGCTAAAGTTATATAAATGATTGTAGTGAAGGTGTATTGAGTTTAAAACTACGGGAGCGGTTCCTGTATTACCACATGGCATCACAAGGTGGAACAGTGTTTTCTGACTGAGAGAAGAATTCAGCCTAAATACTGCTTTTGACACTGTCGATCATGGGATCCTCTTACAGAGACTAGAGGACTGGGTGGGCATCTCTGGTACTGTACTACATTGGTTCCAGTCCTACCAAGAAGACAGGAAGTATTTTGTTGAATTGGAAACTGTGTCTCAGATCACATGGCCCTGAACTGTGGGGTGCCTCAGGGGTCAATCCTGGGCCCCCTGTTGTTCAATCTCTACATGCTGCCATTAGGCCAGTTAATAAGCAGCAATAACGTGTCCTACCTAAATTATGCAGATGACACTCAGATCTACGTCTCTCTGGCAGCAGGAGACTATGGACCAGTGGACTCACTTCGTCACTGCATCCAACAGATCAGTGTGTGGATGCAAAACATCTTTCTCCAGCTAAACTCTGACAAGACTGAAGTCATAGTGTTTGGTCCACAGAAACAAAGGGACAGTGTCAGCAGTCACCTCCAGTCTCTCTCTCTAAAACCTTCAAATCAGGCAAGAAATCTAGGGGTAATAATGGACTCAGATTTGAACTTTAACAGCCACATCAAATCAATAACATCTGCAGCCTTTTACCATCTAAAAAACATAGCAAAAATCAAAGGTTTACTGTCTAAAGCAGACTTGGAGAAACTTATCCATGCGTTTGTCTCCAGTAGGTTAGACTACTGTAATGGTCTGCTCACTGGTCTCTCCAAACGAGCTGTGAGACGCTGCAGAACATCCAGAACGCTGCAGCTCGGGTCCTTACTCGAACTAGGAAGTACAAGCACATAAGTCCTGTGCTCATGTCTCTGCACTGGCTTCCTGTGGCTCAGAGAATAGACTTTAAAGCAGCTCTGCTTGTGTACAAGTCTCTCCATGGCCGAGCACCAAAGTACATCTGTGACATGTTAGTGTCATATGAACCATCTTGCACTCTGAGGACCTCAGGGACTGGCCTCCTGCTGGTGCCCAGAGTCAGAACTAAACAAGGGGAGTCAGCGTTTCAGGTTCATGCAGCTAAAACCTGGAACAGTCTTCCTGAACATGTGAGACAGGCCTCTTCTGTGACGCTGTTTAAATCCAGGCTCAAAACATTTCTGTTTAACTGTGCATATAACTGAAAGGTTTTCATTCCGCACTCTTCTCTCCAATTTATGTCTCTCTTTTTTTATTTTAATCTTCAAGATTATTTATGTTTTGATTTGTTTTTATTATGATTTTAATGTATTTCTTATTCTGTAAAGCACTTTGAATTACTTTGTGTACGAATTGTGCTATACAAATAAACTTGCCTTGCCTTGCCTTGCCTAAATATACAGAGTTTTTATGTTACACCTGTGTGGGTGAAATAAAACACAACTCCAGGTATGTTTGTGGTGAGGAAACAACATTATAACATAGATCAGAAAACAGCATAATATGGGTCATTTAACCACAATTCCTATATACAAGGTGTGTTCAATTATGTTGGTTTCCTCCTGCTTTAGCTCATTTTTACTCCTTAGTTAGCTCCTAATCCTGGTTTATGGCGTGTTCCTGGAAACTGGTATGGGATTTTTCCCATCTCTGATTTGAAAAATGTTCTGGAACGCATCTTGAACTGATAATTCCTTGAGAAACTCTGCGTTGGTGGAGAGATTCGCACTTCCCCAAGTAAAAGTATTTCATGCAGATTTTGAGATCTAATAAAGATCTTAACATATCATATCAGTCATTTCAATCTAACTTTATAGACACTAATAAGTTTTTAATTAAACTATGCCATAAACAATGTAATCAAATGTAACTGAGACACACTCACATCAGCCAGGATTGAGTCCAGTTCAGAGCTATGGAGAATGCCATCAGGTTCAGTGGAAGTTTGGTTCTGGCTTTGTGTATTTTGAGTTGCAGAAGTGATCTATAGGGAACACAATTACAAGTATTTTAACTATTCCACTTATTCCAGTCTTACATAAGACTGAATGATTGAGCATTTTGTGTACACACCTGCAGACACTTAGCCTCCCCCTCAGTGGAGCCAACCCATGATTTGGAGCATGACGAGCAGACAGACCTGCCTCTAACATAGAGAAGCAAACATCAACAAATGACACACACTGTGAGAAATTCTCTAGTATTTAGTTCAGGCATTCGTTGGGCAGCTAAGGAGTCCTTGGGAGCATAGTGTAGTTACCATGGAAACGCTATTAAATCTAACATAACTGCTGTAGCTTGAGTTCATTCCCTTTATCTAAGTCTGTGGTAGAGGTTTGTTTATAAATAAGTTATAATGACCCTTTAATGACTGTTTGTTTATTTAATTGTTCTGTAAATGCTCTGATGCTGATTTGCAGTTATAAGTGATAATATTGCTGTGGATTGTTTAACAGTTATTCATAGGCTCATGATTGATTTCAGACTAGTAATAGCTAGCACATAATACATAATTATAATTATATATTATTATACTATTACTACTCTGATACAGTTATTTCAGTTAATATTTTTTTAAAATGTTCTAATAGATAACCAGACAGAAAAATACGAGAAAGGACATTAAAGCTCCATCGAAGGAGTGCCCACCTTCACTCTGACTGGAGTATTCTTTGGATGAAATCCTACCTATCTCCAACACACTCATTACACAAATTTTACTATTAAGTCATAAACCAAAAGTGTAGCAAAATAATTAGGGATTGTAGTGGTTTAAGTGGTTCATACAGTTAGACATAAATGTGACAACTACTTTATTAGGCCTAAACCAGTCAATAAAATAAATATCGCCAAAATCCCTGGAATATATCCCTCCAAATATACTAGTATATGACAATAATAATAGAAGTCTCCTATCTAAACAGACTTTTGTCTGTATCTTTGTCAGCTGCTTTTTTTCCCCGAATTATGATTATGTTACTGTTGTGCCCACTGTATGGTATTATTTATTTAATACAAAAAAAAAAAAATCTATAAAAAACAGACTATTCTAAATATTAGGAATATTTCACTTAAGATCATAAATACATACATAAAGATCCTATTGATTACTATGTACTTTAATGTATAGCCAGCATTTGCAATCCTGGATGGCTCTGTCTGTGATGAATAACTATGAAGGAAAACGCATCAGCTTCTAGTGGCCAGGATGAGAATTGAAACATGTCTGTCCTGTTAAAACTGAAAAGCAAAAGCACAAAAAGCTAATATTCATGTCTTTGCAACCACTTCTATACAGTGAAGTGAGTGTTTCCTTGTATTTGACTGCCTTTCTATGTTTGTATGTTAAATGAATTATCCCTGCTAACAGCATACATGCATTCCCTGTGGCTGGGATCCATTTACAGTCCATTAGTCACCATTAGCAAGAGCGACCAGAAGCACACTGCTATAATGTGCAATGCTGATCAATACTCACAAGAATTTAGAGGAAGGAAATCCATCTGCAGACTTTGTACTGTATAGATGATGAAGCTAAAATAGGACTTGGCTTTAGGGCCAATAGTATATGTGGTACTGCAGGTAATAAAGTAATGCAGTTTAAAGGTCCTATATTGCACAAAATTGACTCTTGTGAGCTTTTAGTCATGGTATAATGTTACCTAATCAAAAACATACCCAGAGTTGTACTTTTTTTATTCATACATGTCTGAGTGACCCTTTATTATTAGTCTGTCTACATCTCCAAAGCTCAAAATGCTCTGTTCTACCTTGTGATGTCACGAAACAGAAGTATTTAAGTTACCTTTTACCTTTAGTTCAGTAGAGACAGAGGTTGAAACTATCAAAATTATCCTAGTGCAGGTGTATGGAATTTAAAAACACAGTAGAGCACTTCCTGTATTAGCACAAGACATCACAAGGTGGAACAGAGTGTTTTCTCTTGAGAGAAGAACTGCTTATGCAGGGTTTGTGTGGTAAACATGTGTGAATGAAACAAAACACGACTCTAGGTATGTTTGTGATGAGGAAACATTAGAATAACTTAGATCAGAAAATAACGTAATATGGGCCCTTTAGTATGTCTTACTTGGAGAAATTGCAGTTCATGTGGTAGCGCTTTAAACATTGGAGGCACAGTGTCAGGTCTCCTCCACCAAGATGACAAACTCCACAAATTTCCACGGCTGGCTCTGAGCACTGATCACAAAGAAAGAGCAATAACAAAATGAATATCAAAACTAAAGGCTACAACAGTCACCAATTAATTATTTTATAAGTGTATATAGCAATTTTACCTGGTTGGGTTCCTTTGTGTTGACATCTGTTGTACTGAGAGAGAGGGACGATAGTAAAGGGAAATGTGGTGTTGTCTGCTGGGTCTGGGGAGTAAAGGGCTAAATTAAATAAGAAATACAAAGTTATTATTATTACCAAGTCATAATAATCTTACTTGGGTATTATATTATATTATATTATATATTATTATGTTATGCATTTAGGCCTATCTTGATAATTGCTGTATCAACTCAGTATATAATAGAAAGAACAATATTTTTTTCAGGCTTTTGTACTTTTTTAAAAATTAAGTTGAATATTTAACATATATGACACTTTATAGATACTAGAATTAACTACTACCTTAAATTATTTAATTGTTCCAGTAATTTATGGTTGGTCACATTTTTTACAATAATGTTTACATAGTAAAATCTTTCACTGGGGTAGTCCTGCTTTGGGGTTACTGTGTCAGTGGTATTAAGTAGTTTCTATATTATTCTTTATCGGGATATTTTTCTGTACATACTTCAAAATATGTTTATTCTTGACAGGCCTAATTACATTGTTCACACTGAATTCTCGTCATGTAGTCTGAACAATGTAGGGCTTATGCAATATTACACAGAAGAAACAACAATACAGTTTTAGCTTTCATTCTCACCCTTCACTGATCTATATAGGTGCATTATGCAAATTGTCTCCATGGTGCTTATGTTGCTTGGAATGCAACACAGTATGGCGTTAAAGGTATCTAGTATCCACTGAAATCATCTCATGACTGCAATACTATTTTCACAGCCACATTATCACATTATAGGCCTGCCTTTAAGTAACTTTTTTGTGGTGTTTAAGAGCAAAATTCAACTTTGTGAGCTCTGAATGACACAAATATGATAATTTTTAAGATGCAATCATTTCTTTCACTATTGGACTGGCGAAAAAAATCATATCACAATTTTATTAGAGCATTTTGATACATTTTGATCACAATAACTGCACTGTTGATGTAGTGAAAGATAAATATTTTAATGCCATACTGTGGAACACTCCAGGCTAAGCAATAATATCTCAGTGGGGTCTAGCTGATGGCGATTTACTCTACAGGAAAAGTTACATAGTAGAGCTTTAACAGCCTAATAGAGCGCCATTATTTTTCTTAACTACATTTGCATCTTGCTAACATGCTAACATATGATTAAGACCATAGTTAGCTACACACCAGGGCAGTTATGGGTAACTATGGTTAAGTCTGAAATCTTTTATTGCCCAGTCCTGCCTAATTCTCTAAAATCCAGTTTAACAATACGTTTAGTTATTATTATTATTATTATTATTATTATTATTATTATTATTATTATTATTATTATTATTATTATTATTTATTTTACTTGTGTCACTCGCGGAGCTTCCTCTTTTTTCACTATCTTCCCACAACACAAATCACACTGCCACGTGCCTCTGCAGATTAAAAAAAAAAAAAAAAAAAAAAAAAAAAAAAAATTAAACACATTTTTCTTTTTATTCCAAACAGGAAAATATCATAAATAAAATACTCACAGGGATGATTTTAAAATAATTTGAAGAAAATGAGTAGCCTACCCTGGTATGGATGTGAGAGGGGGGTTCAGGCAGCTGAGGTGGAAAGCACGTGGGCATCCATCGCAGCAGATCAGCTCTCCTCCGTCCTTGCACACCGCGCACTCGTCATCATTATAGTGTCCCTAAAAGCAGCAAGACCAGACCTCAGGTACGATTTGGGACGGTTTGGGACAGTTTAATCTAAAACTTAACATGACTTGCCGTTTAGGTTTATTCAAAGCCTATTACCTTGACACTGAAAGACTCCCCCTTGTGGCTCAATGTCGCACTTGCAGTTTTACATTTGGTTGCAAAACTAGGCACACTGCATGAGTAGTAGTTGTTCTCCCCAACTTTTACGTGTTTCAAAGAGGTGCCTACCAAATGCAATCGAAGAAAGAGTGAATGGTAAGATTCTTGAGCTCAGATTAGCAATGAAAGACTGGCTCACCATCTGATCCAGGAGTCTTTTCTCTGGATTTGAGGCTGGGCAGTTGTTTACTGGTGGATGCTGAGGATAATGGGGCTTCTTGTACTGCGCTAATCCCACGTATAGCTAAAATAAATTGGATATGAACATTATTATTAATATTATAGGCTATATTTCTTTAGCCTAGATTGGGTTTGTGCAAATATGCAAAAGATACTTACTATTTGAAGGCTGTTGGGAAAGAAGAGCTTCGTTCTTCACTCTTAATAATTTGACTTTCCCCCCTGTGGATACAAGAATACTATGAATAATAACATATGGGACAAGTACATTAACCTTAACCTTATATGTCTGTATTTGTGTGTGAAAATAACTACACTGTTTAACATCAAAATATGAAATAGTGTTTACAGGCTTTGCAGTACCTGGTCTGTCAGTAGTTCTGGCTTGGTAATGTGAATACTGGCCGTGTGCTGTTGTAGCTGTCTTTTTGTTTTCATGGCTTCTTTTCTTTCTTTTGCTATGGCCTTCAGGGGACTGTGTTTCCAGTCTTGAAGCTAGAGTTTTTATCCCTACCAAACAATAACAAAATAAAAAATATATATATTAATGTATTTATTTATTTAAATTTGAAAGATTGACAGTGTCATAAAGGCACATATTAAGTAAAACTGACTCATATTGAGTTTGAAGACATATTAGAATATTGTTACCTTCTCAAAAACATACTGGGAGATGTGTTTTGTTTTTTGTTTTTTTGTTTTTTTAGAATATACCTTTTGTTCAGTAAAAATTAGCAATTGTGTGTGGTGGCGCACCTCCTTTATTACCACATGACATCAAAATGTGGAAGAGAGTATTGTCTGTTTGAGAGAAGAATACAGCCGAAATTTGCAGGGTTTGTCTGAATGAAATAAAATACAACTCAAAGTATATTTTTGATGAGAAAACAACATAACATAGATCAGAAACGAACACAATATATGCCTTTTAAACATATGAAAACAAAGAGAAAGCGCATACTGATAGGCACACATTTTACAATAAAATTAAGAAACAATTAAATATTTCATGTTATTAAAAGCACATCTTACTGAGTTTCAGATTGGTCAACAGTGTCCGTAGCCTTGGGTAACTGTCCAGATTGTAGTCTTTATTCAAGCATTCCCAGAAATCCTCCACTTTGGATCTGCCCTGCTCCAGAATCCAGGACACAAGGGAATACATGGCCTTGTGGATGCCTTCTCCAGCCTGTTTTTCCATAGACTCCTACAATACCAAAGTAAACACCATCCATCCAATCCAAAATATATTACTCACACTTAATTTTCTCACCTTCAGTTGCAGGTCACTGATTACGCTTTTGTCCACCAAGCCATAGATGAGGGGAAAGGGGTCATGCACTGCCATGGCGATGTCCGTACGAAACTCCTTCAGCAGAGAGCGTAGGTTTGTTTTTCTGTACGGCTGGGCTCTAGACATGATCTGCTTTTTTGTGAATGAAATAAAAAATGTCTTCCACTTACCAGACCGGACCTCACATTATAATCACAGAGGAGGTGTGTCTTAATTTGGAAATATTGTATTACCCATATGCATTATGTGTTTTTAAAGGGTTAATAATGAGCTCTTACATACTGTGCTATTTTTCATGTACCAGAAGAAGCTAGTTAGAAACCCATTTTAGACTTTTTGAGAATTTATTTTCAAGGGTTGTTAAATAATAATCTAACAACTGTTTTCTATTTTAGCGGTTTTAAAATCTCATAATTAAAAAATAAATATTTCGTTCTAAATAAGCTAACTCTCAGCTAATTGTTGCTATGCCAATAAGCCAAAAGATACATTCCTGAAATACAGACATATAAAACAAAATAGGATGAATGATTTAAGTATCTTTTAGTTGCATTTTAAAATAATATTTGTAATGTAAAATTTTATCATAAATGTATGAAATGCCTATATATCTCACTTTGAATTTATTTAACATTATAATTTAAAAGCCACAGTATGTAACTTTTCTATTTTGGTTATTTTTATGCACTGAAACACATACAAAAACACTTGTTCTTACAAACCTGCTTGTCTAGTAATGTTGTTCCTTTGACTATACTATTCCATAATATGGCATAATCTTGTATCTATTTCTGTGGAGAATGTTCTGAAGTGTGGTTTATTTCCATGGAATTCCATGGTACATACTGTACCTTTAACTGTTGTTATTTTAACTTGATAAAATTCAATGTAAATATAATAATAATCGTGAAAATGACAGCCATGTGTGTCTCATCGGTGTTCAATGCCTGCAGTTAACCTTTGACCTGTGTGTGGATCAGATGGCTGTGTGGCTGCAGGGGAATACCTCTCCTCTCACAGCTGAAATAAACCGTTTTGCGCCTAAAAGGTTCTTTCCACCTCAACTTCCCCTTAACTTTCAGGTTTTCAGACCATGACTCAGAGGGAACATGTGATCACTGCTACAATTATGAGACTGTGGGGAACAAACAGCAAACAATGGAGAGATTGACAGGTTGATTACATGCAGCCTCATAAAGGGGCTCCACTCATTTTCCTCAGCACTTGTCAGTATATTTCTCTCAATAGACTGTAGCCTGTTCATTCGTCACATGCAACAGACTGAAAAACAGCTCAAGGTCTTAGGATTACATCACCATTAACAGGTGTTACACAATATTAACAGGTGTTTTAGCTTCCATAGCTAGCAGCCAAAGAAAATACATTGTAGACTACACACACAAAGCCAGTGAACATGCTTGGTTAGAGACAGTTATATCCTACCTACTCTAATGCATAGTACTGCTTATACTATGTCAATAATATTTTACACAAACCATTCATAAAATACAATCAGACCTACCCCCTTTATGTATTGCATGAAAAATGCTACACAAATGCTTCAAACATTTTCCCCAACACATTCCAACAATGGTACAGTTGAAAATGAGCAATTTGCAAGAACAGTTTAACTAAAATAGTTATGTAATTGTTATATAATAATTGAACCTTGGACATGTGATTGTAAGAGTAAGAGTGACTTGCTATAAACATGATCAAAATTCATATAAATGTTGTAAACCATGAGGTGAGTGGTGAAGGTTCACAGAGTGAAGCCCTTTAATTTGTAATTTATTAATCATTAAACATTATTACATTATTCATACTGGTGAACAAGGACCACTTCTACAGAGGGACGTTCACAACATACATATTACATTTTATATACAGTGCAGTGCATTACAGTGGATCGTTATATGTGTATTTCCAGGATGGAGGGATGGGAGGATTGGACAGGAAAAGGGTTAAGAAGGTAAAGAGGAGGAGCGGTCAGAAGGAGGAACAGTTGTGAGTAAGTTGTCTTTTTTTGTTACTTATTTTTCAACAACAGTACAGTTTGTTCTATAAAAGTTAAACCCATAGAGCGATAAGAGTGCCACGTTTTCACAGCTACGGTTGGTGAACCTACAGATTTTTGTGGTAATATCAAATGAGATACGTTTGTCATGAGATGCTATAGAGAGATGCTATAAAACATTCTAAGACAGCCACCCCCCGCCCAGAGAGGGTCAAAGGTCAGATCAGCGTGCATGCGTGCTGTAGACATTCAGATGTGTTTGGCCACCTCCACAAAAATGGCTGACCACTACTGTATTACTCCTCCTCTATGTTTAGGCATCATTTTTGGTGCTTTCCCTTTTTAATATAAAAAAATACAAAACATAACAGTTCAAAGAAAAGAATAGTCGTTTCAGTTTTTCCCTTTTTGTTCAAATTTGCTTTTCGGTATCTTTCTTCACTTCCAGTCACTTACATATTGACAAAGTATACAATATTTTACAACTGAACAAGACTGAAAGGTAACATTTGATTTGTCCAATCAGATACAAGGCCAGGTTCCTATATCCAATTAGAGAAGTCAACTGGAAGCTAACCAGTAGTAAGCAACACAACAAGCCTATGATGTGAAGAGAACTGTCCACTCCCAGCTCGCCATTAACACGAGCACCCGCCTTCTGGCACAGCAGGCTCTGCTGGTTTGTCCAGCTTTATGTCAATCACTGTAAAAAGTATGGTTAAGGAAGACATCAAATATTCATGGACCTGGTATACTGTATTGTGTCATGAAGAACACATAAGTATGAATATAGAACAATATGTTACTTGAGCCTGTGCTTGTACACACGCCTTATGCACCTCTTTGGCTCAGTGCATTTTATTGGGCAGTGAGTGTGGCAGGGAGCTGGGGGATCTGTACCAATGCCAACTACCACTAAGAGATTAAAAATAAGCTTTGTGTCTCACTGTGTAAAGGATACTGCCTTCAGGGTTTGCATCGTCCAAGCTTTCCATGCCTGGTAGAGCTGCGGCAACGCGACGGAACAGCTACGCAAACAAGAAATAAAGACTTAGAAGAAAAAAATCAATTTACAGCCATGTAGGAGCTAATATGAGTAGCTAAAGTACACCAGTACTGATTAATAAAAAAAAAGTGATCTACCTACATCTTAAATCAAAACATAATCAAGCCAAACAGATACAGTGAAATCTGTTCAAATCTTTGGTGTCACCTGTTTGACATTGCAGCCTGTCTTGGCACTGGTCTCAATGAACATGACGTTCAGTTCTTTGGCTCTTTGCTCGCCTTCTTCAATCGTGATTTGCCTGAGAAACACAAACACAAGATTCAGTGTCACTTTGTTGAAACATTTTTTGTTCTAAATATGAACTTTTTGTGTAATAAATATATTAACAAGGTAATCCTAATATCATCGAAAGTGTTTATTGTGAGCCAAATGATGGATCATAAAACAATGACAACTATTCATGCAACTATTTTGAACTCACATCAGTTTCCATTCAAGTTAAAATGAGAAACTTTAAAGGTGACATCTTTATAAAAAAAATATTTTAAAACATATTTGCTGCTATATTATAACACTATATTAACACATCTTTCTTGAGTCATATACTTGCCTCTTTTCCTCCAGATCGGTCTTGTTGCCTACGAGCATAATGATGACATCACTTCCTCTCTCTGTCCTGACGTCATCAATCCACTTGGTAGTCTGCTGGAACGAGTTTACATCTGTAGACACCAAAACATTTTATTAATCTGATACAAAAAACCCCAAAACAAAACAAAAAAAAACATGAAAAAGACCACATTAAAATTCATAATGACACAAAGCTAGTTCTGTTTCTTACTTGTGATATCGTAGACCACAACAGCCACTGTTGAGTCCCGAATGTAACTGGGTATGAGACTCCTGAAGCGCTCCTGTCCTGCAGTATCCCACAACTGCAGCCTTACCTAGTTCAACACATATTTGTACACGTGTAAGCCTGGCGGCTCAGGGCCTTATATTCACACTTCTAAAGCCTGTATCAGCTTGTTGTCATCCTCACATGCCATATTATTCTGACATAGTAATAGCATTAACGCCCGCTAAAGTAGATGATCCACACCAAGGCTTAGACATCTAGGGTTTGAAATACGAAAGCGATTACCACAAGAAATAACCTTAGCGTAATCGTGTTAGTCTGTGAAGAGAGCTGTAATTAGGGAAATCAAATCAAGGATTAGGCTAAAAAGACATGGCAACATTTTTAAGGTGACTCACTAGACATGTTCACTGTTTAATAGCTTCTATTAATTTGAAGGGAATGACAATATTGTGGTCTTACTGTTCGATCTTCCAGGTACATGGTCTTTGATAGAAAGTCTATTCCAATGGTTGCCTGTGGTCAGAAGAGATGAAATTGTTATGTTTTATGATGAAAAGAGCAATTTAACTTATAGTAGCTACAGGGGGAATACGAGTAATAGTATGATAGAGAAAACCATGTATTAGTTATCTATCACTTTCACAGAATTGACTGTAGTGTGCGTCAAATTGAAGAACTATTACTAGACTGTATGCACATATGCACATTAAATATACAGAATAGTTTAAATAGACAATAAAACTTGAACAATAAACAAGTACTGGATTCTGTTTTCTTACCTGATATGTGTTGTCAAAACTGTCATACATGAATCTGGTGATGAGAGATGTTTTCCCCACTGAAAATGAGCACAAATATGATTAGACCAAATTGTTAATCTGTTATTTTAGTCATTGCACAGAAATGAGAGTGTCATTTGCAGAAAAACTGTAGAAAAATATATTCAAAATATCCAGTCTAATCTGGATACTTACCACTGATTTAACCAAGCAATGTTATTTTTGTATCCTAATCCTGACTGCATTATAAGGTTCTGCAAACAACTTTGGTAAACAACAAAGATAGACAGCATTCTTGGCTGTTTTAATTGACACTAGCACAAGGACAACATTCGAGATTTCTATTCACATTGTCTGCCCTTATGTCTCAAAGAATTAAGATTGTTATTATTAGCAAATTATTTTTCAACTCCAAACATAAAAAACAGCCCAATTCTCTGTGTCATAGAAAAACAGTGCTTTGGAGGCTGCGTGTCTGCGATGGGCAGTGGCCAGGCCTCAAATCAGCACCACGGACAGCAACATTGCACCACGGGCCACACAAAACCCCACTAGCCTCCTCATACACATACAACACACACATACTTTACGTCTATATGTAAGAGCTCTACATTTGTCATTCCAGTACCATACCATTGAGTTTTACTGCTTTTTATGGCGTATGGGTTTCTGCTGCCACCTTGGATGTCAAGATATTGAAGCTGCTATAAGACCTATCGATCCTGAATTTGTGCTATCACATCAAAGCACGTACACAGCCCCTCTCCACAAAATAGATGGATTATTGAGGATACGGTATAAAGCTGTGGCGCTGACAGGTCGCTTTGATTTGTCTTTTTATGGGACGGAAGCGAAGGTGCGATGTTTTGGAGAGGCTACAGACACGGCCAGCCGGAGCCTAGGGTGTGTCCCGAACTGACACATGGGGGAACCGTGTGTTATCTCCGCCAGACCTCCTAAAATGGCACACCTTGTATAACTATAAAGGCTTTTCAACATCTAATAAATAGAAATAAGGTTTTTGCCCAGGCTTTAAAGAAGAAAACTGCAAGCGTAATTGCCAGTCACTGCAGCAAGCATATCAAAACATTTAATCCCAAAGCACCCCCATCTGAAGTCAATTGTTCCACTTCTCGCAGAGAAAAGTGGGTATACGACACGATTTGTATGTGTCCTTGAGGGATGATGCTTATCCTGAATAATTAAAGCCCTAATTTGTGACTGCACGTTCCTTATCTTTCCTTGTCTTCCGTTTCTAGTCAAATGTTTTTCACCTAATTATGTGCCAGCGATCTTGGTGTCAGTGATGTCTAAAAAGCCAGAACCGATCGCACCTTGATACAATTACATTTTGTAACACAAATGGCCTTCATTGTAAAGCTTACGTATGTTAAGCGTCAGTAGAAGACGTTAACCAAACCTCAACGATGCTCACCGCTTTGCTCTCCCAGAAAAACGAGTTTAAATTTTCTGAGCGGGTTCCCCAGGTCTCCTCCGGCTGACATGGTGCTAGATAAAAAGGCTCAACTTGGATTATCCTCTGTTTTCCAGTCGTTCGGCGTCTCGTCGGTTGTTGTAGTGCGCACAGAAATCTTCCTCACAAAATGATGGGAATGCAGCTCAGCATCCTCCTGTCAATTTACACTGACACTGCGCATGCGCGACCTCACCTATTGCCAGCCTGTACCTTTCAGGGGCTCAGTAGATAGCCTACATTTCCTTACTTATGTTTTATCCCCGTACAAGAAAAGGAAAAGAAAAAAAAGTGGCCTACTTATCGCTGTTCAGTAGCTTTTGGCGTTGTGTGTAGAAGACAAAATCCTGATGGGTAAGTTGTAGAGAGCATTTTTTCATAACCACATTTTATAATATTTTGGACTTTTTGGTGTTGCTAACTTTCCAGAATATAACAACAGAAAAAGACAAAGAGAAAAGACTACTGGACTTACTTTGAATCTAATCATAAACCTTTCTTTGTATTGCTTTGTCAATGTGGCTGTCATCTGAAACTTGTGATTTGGGATACTCAAGGAGCTCTATATGAAATGTACAGTTCAATTTTAGTTTAATAAGGAAACATTTCTCTTTTATTATGGTTTGATGTTACAAAATCAGAATAAGACACTGCATTAAAACGTCCCTTTTACCCTTTAGATGTATGCTCAAAGTCAAACAGCTCTGCCTCCTTCTCTTTCCAGAAGGCGAAGCTACGATCAATATATTTACAAATGTCTTCTTCATTGTTGAAACAGGATACATCTGTGCCACCCATGCACTCACCAGGGCCAGAGGAGTGGACTCTTACATGGGGCACCAGCTTGGACTCATGCAAAACTGACATGGTGGGATAGCAGTACGCTTTGGAGTCTCCAAAGAAGTGCACTTTAATGTCATCGAACCCATCGCTCCATTGACGTCTTCCGGTCTGTATTTCTTGCAAAACGGCTTTATGGAAATCTCTTACCGTCTCCCAGGGGAACGTGCCAACATGGTCGAACACCTCAAAGCACAGCAGATGCCTCATTTTTCTTTCCTCTGCTGACAGCGGCTGCTCAAGGATGTGAAAATACCCCAGCATGAATAGATCAAGAGTTAAGCTATCGTAGGTCACAGCATCGCCATTCGCGTCAGGTACAAACTGCTCAGGAGAGTAGGTTACAGAGGGAAGCTTGCTGTGTTTCCTATGGGTATCACTGATGTCTAGTCTAGTCTTCCATGAGTTCAGCATCTTGTCAACTGCACATTTTTGCTGACAGAAGTGAAGCATGGAGTTCCCCTTGTGTTGCTGTGTGGTTGCTTGATATTTACTCTGTTTCATCTTTCCTGATCTCTTTGATATAGCATAAGCTGACTTTTTCCAGTGACTTAGAAACAACACAACAATGCGCTCTTTTCTCAGACTGGTGCTCTCCATCACTGGTATGTTTTTGATTTCAGCAGAATAATCCTTTCCCATATCTTCTTTCAAAACACCTGCAAAAGGATAGACCCCACCAATCTGACCTTCAAAGTTTGTTCGGAGACTGCTCACCGATACACCAGATTCCTGAATTTCCTGTTTCACCTTGTCCCTTTGGGCTCTGTTGTAAGTGCTAGCTTCTAAACGATGACTGAAAGCTGTTGCCATGCCGATGTGGGGTATCCTATGAGCTGTTTTATGTAATTCTAGTTCCACAGGATTGCCTTGTTCAGATCCTAAACTCTCTTTTCTATTACTGTCTTCATTTACACCTTCTTCTGTGTCTTTCTCTTCAGTTATTTGACTTAAATGAGCTAAAAGCAATGACATGTTTTTGACCATTTCAGAAACACGGCTGCACCAATTTTGCAGTGTGCGCCGTCCCTCTTCATCCATTTGCTGAAGGGCTTCTGTGTTTAGGGAAATATTGACGATAGGATCGGGGAAAATTGCCTTCAGCTCTTTAGTGAGCCTGGTCAGTTCCAGCTCATAGACCTGGCACCTCTTCTGCAGTGAAACATTTTCAATCTGCTTTTGGAGATAAACTATGTCATCTTCACTTAGCAGCTCGCCAAAAGGACCCAAGACTGCATTATGAGCTTCAGAGTATTTATAGTCATCAAATGAAGGTTGGGTTGGTGCTGCACTCTGTAAAAAAAAAGAAAAAAAAGAATGCAATTTAAAATATTTCTTATTTTATTATAATAGTATATATTTAAAAAAAAAAAAACAGATTTCTGGACTCATGATCATTTAAATGCATTCCATCATAATTATCCATAATTTCTATTCTATAACTGCTTTCAAAGGGATTAGTTACCTATTTACATGTTTTGTTTTGTTTTTTAGCAGAAACATAAATAGGAAATACATTTTTTATTGATTTTATTGTCATCCTTACTGTCAACAGACTTATATTTCCACCTCATCCTGCTTTTTTCATGGAAAAGTTGTTCCTTTGGCTATAATGTTCCACAGTATGGCATAAGACTGATTTATTTCCATGGAGAATGTTCTGAAGTATGGTTTTGACTTGGCAAGTGGTGAGCTTCCTCCAGAAAGTAACACAGTGTTGCTTTAAATCTCTGATCAAATCAGAGATCAGAGTCAAATCCCTCTGATATGACTCAAAAATTACATAAAAACTCTCTGCATACAATATAGAAATCTAAAAAGTGTGAAAGAATCTCTACTGTATATATCTGTAAAGCTACTATGTGGTATATGATGTACCTGTTTAATATCTTCTTCTTGATCCAGCAGTCTGACTTGTAGCTGTCGTACCATCACCTGTCTTTTCCACTCCACGATGGGAAGTCCAGCTTCATCGTGAGTTGGCACTAAGGCGTCGATGTCAGCCAGGATCACATCAGCGAGAGGCATCATCTCCTGGACCTCCTCATCTTCAGACCTCTGCTGCAGCTCAAACACCAGGTAAATGGGATGAGACTACAGTTAGACTACTTACTCTTATTGGATTTTACTAGTTTTATTGTATATGTATATTTATATTTACATTGTATTGTTTTATCTGCATTGTGCAGCACTTTGGAAATTGTTTTGCTCATGAAATGTGCTATACAAATAAAGTGGATTGGATTTTTTTTAAACATAACAATGCATTAATTTGTGTATTAAAAATCCCATTGTATGTGTGCACACATTGAACTAATTCGACAGGGATGGCTGGATGGACGACAACAACACTGCTTGATTCAGAGATTAGGATACATTAATACAAGACCAAAGATCCAATCCTTGTAATCACATGCATGACATGTTTTTAAGATGAACAGAAAAGGTATTTGTCCTAAATTATGTGATGTTTGAAGTATGTCTAGTGTTTGACATTTGCACAAAGAAAAAAGTTTGTGCAAATGTTGTACTCTTCAAAAAGCCAGTTTAATTCAACTGCAAGACTTCACACATGTTTATTCTCACTTCTAATATTGTCATTTATAATTGGTTATACACTTGCTTGGGGCTAAAACTTACATTTTGTCCAGTGAAAACCGCTGTGAGCCCTGCCTGTTTCATGGACTTGACAGCTTTCATGTGGGATGTTGGCGTAAGATCTCTCTCTGGAGGCCGCAAGTAGTTGAACGATGATACCACTGTTTACATTTATTTTGGAGACAACTGGTTACAACATGTATGTATGTGTATGTAAGTTTGTATCTATGTATCTATATGTGTATGTATTTCATGAATATGTGTGTGTGTATGTATGTATGTATATATGTATGTATGTACGTACGTACGTATGTATGTATATGCATCAGTCAAAATTTGGACAGATCATTCACTGTTTTTTGTACGTGTTTACTACTTTTGACATTTTATATACATACAGAAGACATCAAATGTATGAAGCAAAAGCAAAGAGGAAAAAAAAGTTTAATAAAAAATTTTTTTTAAATATATTTTATAACCGAATGTTCAAATTAACCACATTTTGCATTGACTTTTTTCCTTCACTAAATAATTCCATATATTTTGCTTCATATATTTGATGTCTTCTGTATGTATCTAAAATGTAGAAAGTGGTAAGAAAGTGTCCAGACTTTTTGAGTGGTAGTGTATGTATGTATATTTATTAGGTATTTCAGCAGGGGAGCATAAACTCACCTGATGAGGCCACTTGCACATGCTGAAGGGAGCCTGGGTGTTTTTTGGAGCTGGGAGCAGGATTCCCATAGGAAGAGGTGACAGGAAGTTGGGAGGGGTGCCGAGGCAGGGGGGGGACCTCCTTCACCGGCTGCTAGGGACACCAAGCACAACATGGGTGAGCAATATTTAGTGTGAAATTAAAACGATTCTTTTACTTCTTTCTATAATTATTTGGTCACCTTGATGTTCTCCATGTGAATTTTTGAATTAGCCAGTCTGTCTTTTATCTGAAACAAATAAACAAAAGTAATATTTGTGCTAAAACATATCCTGGAACCCCAGTAGTGGAGAAATCTGACACAGCATCCCCTATGACTACGTGTTAACAGCACTTTAGTGACAGACCTCCCTGCCGGTAACATACATTATGAGTCTGTAGTGTCGGGGAAGAATACACAAAATGGTGAAACAGGAAGCCAATGTAATGAATGTAGCGTAGCCCACACAGAGAGCTGGAGAAAGCATGTTTGAGTTTGGAGACATCTGATATGCTGCGTCAGGTAACCCAAATGATTCAGAGCATTTTGAACAACCAGCGTTTAGGAATCTGAGTACTCACTTACATGGTAACAAAAGGGCTTGGAATGATTTCACTCAGCACTAAACAGAATTAAAACTCTGTAACATACAACATTTTTAAGTAAAATGTTTTAATTAATACATGCACAGTACTATTCTGTAATTAAAACACCTAGTTGAGTTATTTTTTTTATTACACAATATTTATTATTGTTATAACAATTTTGAAACTGTGATTTTAAGTCACCTCAAAGTATCACATCAATTCATACATTCACTAATCTTTCAGTTATTAAAAGTTTTTTAGTCTACCACATAAAAATAATTAATATAATATGTTGTTAATGTAAAAAAAGATAGGCATTTTGGTCTTTTCTAGGTCAATCATCTGTTGCATCTGCTGTTACATCCATGCAACAGCAAATCTTTCATTCTCTATACATTAGTTATCAAATTCATACTTACATTGTTAGATTATCATTCATTCAGCTCTTTCAATTAAAAGAAGTGGAACCAAAACACTTGGACAAAAAACAGTGGCAAATAAAATACACTTGAAAATCTAGCTGTTTCCCTTTTGGCAGGTGGAAGCTGAAGAACCCCTGTATCCAGGAGCGGCAGCACCCGGCTCCAGACCTCAGATGGGGGTCCTTTCTTTCTGTGCATTATTGAAAAGGTGGGATTGGGTGACCTACATGTGGAAGTATAGCTCTGTGAATGTATGTGAGTGATAATATACTCTACACTGGAAGGTGTATATGGAGTGTATGTAGTGAGTGGCCAGCACATGCTCTGATATCACTTTTGGGGAATACAGAATAACTAATGAGAGAATAATCACCAGTGTTATCAAAACTGGACACTGGTCATCAGCGGTGAAAGAACTACTCAATTTTGTTGCTTCACTAACTGGAGCACAACAAAATTCTCACCTGAAAAAGTATAATTAAGTAAAAGTATTACTTGTTTAAAAATATAGAGTAAAACATCAAAGTGTTTCATGCAGATTTTGAGGTCTTAAGGCTTCAGATTTATTAATTTTGATAAGAAAATGTGCTGAATCTTGTTTAACAGAAACAATTACATTAATATTTTTTCTAGCTTTTTGATCTGTTTGTTTATTTGCTCAAAATATGACCTTGATTAAAAAAAAAATGCTTGTTAAAAAATGCAGAGTAGAATGTACAGATATCTACTCTCAAATGTACTGAAGTAAAAGTAAAAAAAAAAAAAAATATATATATATATATATATATATATATATATATATATATATATATATATATATATATATATATATATATTTTTTTTTTTTTTAAAGTAAAGTACAGATACATGCATATACTTTTTTTTTTTTTTTTTTTTTTTAAAGTAAAGTACAGATACATGCATATACTTTTTTTTTACTTTTTTTTTTTTTTTACTGAAATCATTACCCTCAAAAATACTGGACATTATTCTTTCACTCCTTACACGGTGGTGATAACTACAGTAGATCTAGCCACAGCTGCCCTGTGAGAGACTGACATGAGGCCGCCAATCTGCGCCATCGGCCCCTCCGACCACCACCACCACCTTCTGATTGGCCTATTTCCATCTATTTCAGAAATTGACGTTTACGGAAATTGGCGGAGTTATGTTGTGCGTCAGACGGTGCAGCTGTCCGAGTGCCATTAGAATACATTAAACAACCCTCTGCGTCAGAAATAGACAGAAACGGGCTACGTCGGCGTCAGAACTCCACGCTAAATTTAAGGGCACTGTTCACACGCAGCTCTTTGACGTTTTCTGACTGTTGAGTGGACACATGTGCCCTCCTCGCTCCTGTCTCTGATGGAGTTGTGAGTGGATTAGTCCGACTGGCCTTGCTTCAGCTGAGTACATGGTGAGTGCACGATCAATAATAGAAGGCTGTACAAATGCCGCAGAACAGACTCCCATATGAGCAACAGCACAATCTGTTACAGCACACGCGGAAAAGATGGCCATGTGTCTGTGAGGCGCGCGCATCAGTGTATTCAGTTACTGCTGTTGGAGACGAGGCAGGATTTTAAAATGTGACCTGCTGAGGTGTACTGTACATGCTTATTTTACAGAATCTAATACCATTTTGTACTTGGAATTATATTACATAACTACAAAAAGCAACAACAGAATATTATTAGTCCTGTTCATTATTTCAAGACCTGTTTAAAAAAAAAAAAAAAAAAAAAATCGTATATGGCTATATTTTGGCTGTTGAATATCATTGTTACAGGTTTCTGTTCTATAAAGGGCCCACACTATTTTATGATCTTCTGAGATGTAGACAGACTAAAAAAGTTACTCAAACATGACATGTGAATGAAACAAAACACAACTCCAGGTATGTTTTGGCAGCATTTTAACATATATGCCTAAAAGCTCACAAGCGTCAATTTAGCGTAACATGGGACCTCCTTACTAGCCTGATTCACCAGCCGGTTTCACTTTGTGGAAACCGTCTGACTTCGCAGCATTAACATTTGTTTGCCCGACGGTAAGCCGGAACTTTTTTTATTCAACTAAACGCTGCTATTTGGTTGTGACATATGTAATGCGCCGCTAACGGAGTAACTCGTAAATTAAGCTTTTCCCAAATCTCATAGGAAGAAGGGCAATAATGTATTTCCCCTTGATAAAATTCACCTAACATTCTCTTTGTTCTGACTTTAAATCCTTGATCTGGGAATCGCTGACTACACTGAATGTATGGCTCTTCGTTGATTGGCTGGTGCCTGAATTCGCACTTCCAGGGTTCTTGCAAACCATCTAGTGTATTCCAATTCCTGACCTAGTCGCTTGAGAGAAATGAAATTGAGCGGAGACACTAGGTGGCGCCGGCCTGACTACCTCCTTACGCTCTGACATAAAAAAATTCAAATGGAAAACCCTTATAAATAGAAAACAAAGCCCAAATTATGATAGATAAGACATAATTAAGGTTCAAACACGTATTCTTTTATTTGCATTTTTGTTAACAACTTTTTGTTACGTGTCCACAGACATGAGAAAGAACACTCAAAAGAGAAAGGTGAGATGTCTTTACTTGCTGGACCTCATCTTTTTTTGTACAGTTCCACTCATTTAGGTAACCCCACAACCACTTTCACCTCACTGCTATTTGCAAGGTTCCACCCAGGTCCACACTTTTCAGGCTTAAGTGACAACAAACAAAGCAGTAGGTCATTTACATCATGATATACACAGACTTGATATCATCTGTGAGATCGTACTGACACAGAAATCTCCACTTATGTACAAGACAGAGCCAAGAGGAAAGGTTTCAGTCAGTCATCATTACAAGGGTCAGGGATAATACTTACAAGTAGCACTTCAGGGTAAGAAGCTGTTGTCATTAGCAAGCGGTAAGGCAGGAAAAGGGACATAAAATGAGTACAGTTCAAGAGAAGTGGACCCGCATGCTTGGATCCAAAGCTATAACAGTTAAGAAGCAGCTAAATAAGTAATTAAACCCTTTAGCTATCAACTGGCCAGTGCCCTAAAACTGTCCCATAATGTGGTTTATTAGGAAAACTAAGTCAGGTAGCAAAGCATCAGCTAGAAACATTGCAAATTGATACAGGCATTTGACTGACTTAGCAAAAAATCTTCTTCATCTTTCTTGTTCACAAAGTGTCACTGTCTTTTCTTACATTCTCAGAAATAAAACACAACAAAATAATATACACATAAAAGAAGCATTTATACATTAACCTGGCATTATTATTTGAAACAATATTTGTCAAAAAACCTTTGTCCAACACATTGGCAAGCAAATTATAAGCAGGTTGTCATATCACTACGGTTCACTGTGAAAATTTAACTTTTCTGATTAAATATTTGTATTTATTGGATTTTCAGGCTGTATTGTTCTGCAGGTTGGCTGGCCTGAGACATACAGTCCAAAATCCATCAATGTTTAGGACAAAGAAGAAAAGACAAAATGGCTGGCTGACCATATCTTATCCTAGTGTCAATAGAACATATTATTATCATTTAGTTATTTTTTAATTGTAGCAATACAACAAGCAAATTTAACAGCTTTAGTGCAAACACTATGAGGGAAGCAGTTCCTAGTAAGACATGGGTGCAGTATTTTACATGATATACCAACACGCTACGTAACATTAACTAGAGTTTGACTTATCTTCAATATAAACACCTCACTTCATACATAAATGCTCTTCTCTGCTGATGTCAAACAGTGATATATTTAGGACCAGCTAAACAATAATGAGAAAAGGGAGGCACTATCTGGTGCATGGACAACACAACTGACCAAAGCAGTTATACCATAAGGTCCAACAACTTTTCATTTAGCTACTTAAGGACAATAAACTCCACTGAGCTGTTCTGAAATACATAAGTGCTTCATCTTTTTAATCTTATGGATCATGAGCAACCATCTCATATCATCATAACAAAGCTCATATCAATTGGTATAGCTTCAAGGGTCTGCCAACACAAACCAACATTAAAATAATCCTTTGGTAAAACAAAAAATTTAATAATATAAATAATATAAATAATACATTAAAGTGCCATGCAACAAAAACTCTGTAAATAGCTATACTATTTTTGTTCTAATATACACAAGGTTGCGTAAAAAAAATCTTAACATTAAAGACAAGGCAAAAACAACATTTCTGACAGAATTTTGACTTTGTTAAGCCAACACATTCCAACAACAATTACCCCTTGAAAATGCGTATGCTACTTTATGTTAAATGACCAGCGGTAGAGCACCAAGCCATTACAAACTGAGGTAACAGTAAGTGAAAGATGCAGGATTATGTAATGTTGTTATTGTTGTATTTTACACTTCCAGATCCACCCTGCTTGTTGGCTACAAAGCAGATGTCTAACTCCTATTTTCCTATATTCTGTTGGCATGTTATTAAGAATACATGTATCAGTGATAATTACTGGGACTATTCTCTATACACATATGATTAGACTACATACACTTAACCTTTGGGTGGTTAGTTCGCTTAAGTATCTACAAGTAAGACCATGCAGGGGTACTGAGGACAACTGCAAAACAGGGACACTTTTGGGATTAGGTCATGAATAGGCTAGTATTCTTTTTCATGTATAAGGTTGTATTATAGAGAAAGGTTCCAGAATGAAGCTTTTAAATTTTCCACAATATCTTTAAATCCTCTGAGGAGATGCCACAGGGGGCGCCGATTGCACTGACTTTCTTCTTGACAGCTTTGACCTAAAAATAATATTAAACTGTAATTAAACACATATCTTCAATATTACTCAGTCTGTGTTTTTAGTCAAATAAATACTTAAAGGTCATATATTATGCAAAATGAACATACTTGGAGTTGTGTTTTGTTTCATTTACAAATGACTAACCCTTCATTATTAGTCTGTCTACATCTGGAAATCTCAAAATGCTCTGTTCCACCTTGTGAGGTCATTAAGTGATAGTTTTCAAGTTAACAGATTCTTTTTTGTTGTTGTTGTTGTTGTTGTTGTTTTTTTTTTTTACTTTTTTCAGTAGAGATTGGCAATTTCAGGGCTGAAATTATCCAAATGATTCGAATGAAGGAGTAGCAGTTCTTGTATTATCACAAGACATCACAAGTTACAACAGAGTGTTTTCCATCTGAGAGAAGTCAGTCTAAACATGCAGGATTTGTGTGTTAAATATGTGCAAATGAAACAAAACACAACTCTAGATATGTTTATGATGAGGAAACAAGATTATAACATACATCAGAAAATAGTGCATGTGCCCTTTAATTTAAGCTCTTACCTGATGGTGCCAGCTAACAGTGGGTTAAAAGCATACAGCCAGTCATGCATTTCTTTGTCATTGGTGGCCTGGAGTAATATCCCACGATGCTCAGTGCACACAGCGAATGTGTTAGGAGTCTGTCAAAATGATATATGAGATTAATTGTGATTTGGGTCTTTTTTTGCTGAGTTTTATTATTGAAAGTAGAGTTTAATAGTTATACCCGCAGTAAGGTCTGTTTATCTTCACTGTATTCCACTTTGGCAGAGGACAGGTTGATGACAGCTCTCTCCACGCTGTCCCTCTCACTGCGATACAGGTAGACATAGGGCCTACGCACCACCACATATCTCTTCACCCAGCCACTAGTGTGGGGCTCCAGGAAGTGTAGGTACCCTTTCTTTGAGACAATTGGGCTGAAATATAATTTGTACTGTCAATACGTGCCATTATTTTGAAGGGCTGAGTGAAATCTCAGTGTGTGTTTTGTACCTGACACGGATCTCTTGAATATCAGGAACAAAGGTGTAGCCTCGAAGAGCTTTCTTTCGATCGACTGGACTGTAGGGGTCCAGGTCTGGAGTGGATGCCCCTGAACTGGGCTCAGTGAGTCTACACATAATGCATCATAAGTACATATGAAAAAGAAGTTTTAAAATAAATACACTATTACAAGTCGGTAGGTCATGTTGCTAGCACTGGGTTGTTTATTTGTATATATTTGTATTTCTAATTGTCCAATTAATCCTTGGTAGAAATTCTATTTACTGTATATACAAAATGTACTAACATTAAACTTTTTTCAACTTTTAGTAAGAGACAAAGTATAGTTTTAGTCTTGTTTTTAATGTACCAAAACTTAAGGGAATATTTGGCTTCAGCTATTAAAACTGGTGCAGTACCTGAGGTCAAAGTTCCCCTCAATCAGCGAGGGGCAGGTGGAGGATGGGGTTAAGGTGCTCAGTCCAGAGGAAGACGAATCTCTCATCAATGAAGCGGACAGATCCGAGAGCTAAAACACACACACACGATCACATGCACAAAGCAGCACACAAACAAATCCAAACACAACATGGACAGACACAGAGGAGAACAGAGCAGCCAGTTGAGCACGCACAACATGCATTCAAAAGAACAATTCCATTAGATACATGAACCTCAAGCATTTTGGGAATAACAGTTTGAGAAAACACATAACATTGTTCTATCTTGGAGCCCCATGCTGGTCAGTGTGTTAAAGGACATGCAGGGAATGTCAGAGGAAACCTCACAAGTTTAAAGGGTGGGAATATCAGAGGAAAATAGAGCATACTGTGTCAAGTGTGCCAAGACCAAAAAACTGTTAATAATGGCATCACTTTAGACAGCATAAGGAATAAAGAAATATACGAAGATATGAAATGACAATAAGACTCTAAATGGATGGCAGGGGATAGTAAAGCTCTTTGGTTGTATTTAGTCATGAAGATGAGGTATTAATCACAGGAGACGTGGACAGAGGGGCTTTGTAGTGGCAGCAGGGCAGTAGTGGACAGTAAGGACTATAGGGTAGTTAGGGGGCTGAGCTGGGGCTCACCTTGCTCTCACTGGCACTGCTGCTCACCTGGCTGTACTCTCTGTTGAAGGTGTGCATCAGCAGGCGCAGACACTGCAAACAGGAACACAAGAGGAAGAAGATTTTCAGTGTAGGAAATATGTGACAATATCTTAAAACCTATAAGCCAAAAACCTATTACTACTGATGAAAATGAACAGTCACCTTAGCAGCCAGCTCGCGCTGCCTCTGATTGGGGCTGTCTGGGACAGGACTGCAAACTGGACTTTGGCTGAGGACAGGGCTCTTGGCTAAGTCACTTATGTCACTGCTCTTGTAAAGAGCATCCTGTCCTGCGAGCAAAGTGGCCTCTAGCTTCTCTCTCAGCAGCAGGTAATGCCTGGTCTTCTCCACCTGGATACAATACAGGTTTGCTTTTAGAAAACAAATCATCTGCATTGTTATGAAAACACTCTGTTCTCTACAGCTAACCTCCTGCAGCAGGCTGAGTTTCTCTAGCTCCCACTGGTGGTCAAGGATGAGACTGTCACTGCGTGGTCTCCATCCAGCCAGATTCTCTTCTCCTCGGACATAAGCTACAGAGGTGTCCAACACTCGTCTACGGCGGCGCTGCATACCTGCAGTACATGTCAGTATTTAGAATAAGCACCATGTATTTATGTTGAATGATTAACAGAACTGTTTCTCTCACCAGGGCTTCCATTGTCTGCCACATGGCATAGGGTGATCTCATACACTCCCGTCACACGATTACTGCAGATGTTCAAATAAGAGTGTTATATAAGAATACAGTCAAGTGTGTCAGTAGTAACATTAGTGCACAGGGCAGGGTAATGCTTTACCTCTCAGATGGCCTGAAGCAGCCGGTGCTGAAGAGGTTTCTGATTGAGCGAGACGCTGGCAGTTTGGTGTCACGAGCATAAAACACCATGCAGAAGTCTTTGGTGATTACAGTGGGCTGGGTGCAGTTCTCCATCTAAATTAATGTAATAGTGTAAATAAACAATAACATACCATAACATTGGTTCTGGTTTACTTAGTTAATAATATACCTCTAAATAAGCAGATAGTGTGATGTAGATCTTCTCTCCATAGGGAGTGACTCTGTTCAGGAGTAGAGAGTTGTGCATGGAGCTGTCCCACGCTGCTTCAAATCGGTAAAATGTTCTGTCAGAACAAAATAAGATCTCAGTATTTGCTGGTGATGACCCTTATAGCACTTGTCATTTTAAATGCGAGAATACCTATGATCAACCCCCAAGGAGATGCTGCACATATGGAAAACAGCGTGTTAGCAAAAGGTATTAGTGTAGCAAATAATATATTGCAATGACAGTTAAAACACTAAATTATTCCAATGTAAATTAAAATCATAAAGCAGATTATATAGATAAAAATGTTTTACTTGTCATCATGTTTTGGCCAGTAATATCCCGAAGACAGAATGTTGAGGGAAAGGATGTTTGGGTCTATGATTGTTTCATCGGCCTCTGGAGTGTTTCGAATACGACCTAAATGCAGACATGCCATAAGGACATAATCCCATCAACCAAAGATGAGTTTAGTAGAAACTTACAACTCACCAATAACCAACTCTTTGACCTCCTTCCACTCAAAGTCGTTTCCATTTTCATGAGCAATGGTCACTGTAATTCGCCTTTGAATGCCCTGTAAAGTACAATATTTAGTTAAAACCTGCCTATTTAAAATAGTAGAGAAAAAATATACTTTTATAAGTTTACCTGATGTAAAAGGAAAGTCCCATGGCAAGGCATGCCTCCCCTGTGATCAACAACAGCTGGGATGTATCTACAAAGAAATAATATTTCATACACAGTAAGAGGTATTGAAACACAGTGTACTGTCTATTCTATTTTAGGTTGACATTAAGATTCTACTCACTCTCCGTTGGCTTCCAGCTCACAGATCTCAAAGAAAGCCATAAGGTCATATTTGGCATGACAAGGTCCTGCAGTGGAGCGTGTCAAAGTGCTGAGCTTTGTGGCTGGCACTGAAAGTGCATTTGAGAAGAGTTAAAATCACACTTACTCTCAACACAGTAACAAAAAACATTTTCTGTTATAGTCTATGTGCACTAATACTTTTAAATGAATGTTCTGCTAACCTGGTTTGGACAGTGGCATGACTCTGGGAAACTGCCTCCTGGAAGGTCTTAAAGGACTAAGTAAATATGAAGAAAATGTAAAAATATATTCAGACTTTATATTTACACTGAATATATTGTTACTTTTTTTTTTTTTGACAACAAACCTAATGAGATCTTTGCAGAGAGGAGGGAAAGGCTGCTTCTGATAATGACCAAAGACCTCAAACACTATGGGCTGTGTCTTGATGTACTCAACAAAGGACTTTGTCACTTCCACTGTGATCTAGTGTGAAAATATATGCATATACTTCAAACCAACGTTAACATATTCACTATTACAATAAATTAAAAATAATGTTTACATTTTGTACATGGTAAAAGCCCAAAGGTGGTCCTCTGCCTGTGTTCTTCAAAGGTTCTGTGGAGAATGCTTCATCATGACGATGGATGAAACTAAAATAACACAAACAGACTTTGTATTAGTCACACAGGATTCTTTAGATTACAATAATCATATGTTTACACTTGATGGTGGCACTGCTGATCTGGGACTCAAACTCTCCCACCTCTATCCATCACACAGTCTTTCAAGACAAAATGTGCCAATAATAGGCATTCATTTCCCAATTTATTCCTCCATAATATTTCACTTCAATCACTGACATGTATACACTTGTTTTAACAGGGTGTAAACTAGTATAAAAGAGCGACTCACTTAAACTGGCAGAAGATGTCTGCATACTCTGCAGAGATGCTGGATGCCTGTAAGACTGTGACTCTGAAGGTGAATGTGCTGCCAATTTTGAGGTGGGACAGAGCCTTTTCTGGGGACAGGTCCAGAGGGAGGTCTAGGCCTAAGCCCAGGGTCTTTACAGGACTCCGAGGAGGTTCCACTTCGGCTACGGAACAAGACAGAAAAACAGATAAATACATTTGAACGTAAATTACAGTATTTTTATTTGATTTATTCTTATTCTACCTGCACATGTATTGTTGTTGACTTCATCTGCTGAAATACCCATCTCTGCGTTTTGCCCCTCTCCCTCGACAATTCGCAGCTCCTCCTGAGACGAGTGTGAGAGACCACTGGGGCATGACTCTGTCTGGAACTAAGACGCCAATTCAAAACAACAGATATTTTACATCCTTCTTGCAACACTGTCACGTTTCTTTTTATGTAGTATAAGAATGATAGTATGAAAGTACTTAAAGATCTGAATGTACCTTTTCAAATTGTTTATCTTCAAATGAAATTTTGGCAGTGCCTGACTGCCTCACACCTGAGCCATAATCAGGTGCCTCCTCATCAGCTGAAAAACAGTAACAATTTTTAAAAAGGAAAAAGGAAAGAAAAAAACTGTGCCCTTACATATTTGAGCATACATTCTCCCTTATCAGACAGGTCAACAGCCTGTATCCTCCCCTCTCTGCCTCCCTCCCATGGACAACAACCACACCCACTAATATAATAACATTGAACTGGACTTTGCATTGTTGCATAATGACAAAAAAATACTCCACATATTTGACTGTATGTCCCTGTGATGCTGCTCTCTATACTGCTGCTGTTACTGTTTATTACTATACTATAAGGTGCACTACGTAAATTTTTGGTTCTGGGTCCATCATTGACTTGTTTCTATGGATAAGTCATTACTCTGCCTAAAATGTTCCACAGTATGACATTAAACAACTCTACCTTACATTTATTTAATTAAAGGTGATTTTATAGCTCAAAAAATACCTAGAGGCAATCTGACCACGGGCAAGGTTGCCTCTCCACAGATCTGGCCTGTAACTTTGTCTGGAATGCTTCACAGCATGGTATTAACCCATTCTATCTTCAGGGAGACCAAACCAGACCAAGCAATAACATCTCCATGAAGAAAAGCATTTGATGGTCCTTCCACCAGAAAAGTTACACAATACACATTTAATATCCCTATTTTAGCATGACACAGAAAAATGCACAACAACTGATAACTTACCAGATATAGCCTGCACAGCCACTCTGAGGAAACCTTTGACCTCTCCTTTCTCACTGACGATGGCCACTCGATGAACCAGGGGCACTGGGTACAGCAGGTTGCTCAGGTACACAAAAGCCCTGTCGGTAAAAACACGAGTGGATTACACAACCATTCAAGCAGTATAGGGGGGTCTGTGTTAAACTTAAGCAGGCTTGGACCCTGACCGGCCGACCAGACGGAACCAGGGGAAGCGGTCATAGAAGGGGTCTCCTCCTGTGAGAGCGGGGTCACAGTCCTCCACCGCACTACTAGGTAACTCTGCAGCTCGGTCATACATTTCTCTCATCAGATCCAACCTCTGCCTACATAAACCAGGAGAAAAAAAAAACAATTAGACAAATGTAACCAAATATATTGCATATATATTACCCATATTACATTATTTTCTGATCATTGTTAAAATGTAGTTTCCTCATTACAAACATAGCTGGAGTTGTGTTTTGTTCCATTCACACGTTTAACACAAAACTCTGCATAGGCTAGGTTCTTATCTCAGACAGAAAACACTTTGCAGTGTGGTGTGGTAATACAGGAAGTGCTCCAGTGTCTTTTAAAACTCCATACACCTTCATTAGATTTATTTTGATTATTTCACCCCTGGATTTGTCATTCTGTACTGAACTAAAGGTAAAAGGTAGCTGTTAACTTGAAAACTACAGTATCATGACATGAACAGTGCATATGTGAATGAAACGAAACACAACTCCACATATGTTTTGGATGAGGTAACAACATTATAAGATGGTTAAATATAGGACCTTTAAGACATGACAAGATTTTGTTACCTGAGTTTTTCCAAAGTCCAGTAATGTGTGGCTCCATTCTTCTGGTCCTGTACCTCCACCGCAACAATAGTGCGAGGGAAGGGTCGTCTCTCCCTCTCTTGGGCCACATTAGGGGGCAGTAGGTCCGGAGGCAGTGGGGAGTAGAGTGTGTCTGTCAAAAGAACAAACTGGAACTGTACCTGTGGACAAGAAGCATTGCTCGTGAGACGTTGAATTTAATGTTGACTGATCAGTGGTTGTAATAAAAATCAGTTAAAGTCAGTTAAAGGGCTTATATTACGCTTCCTGTTTTGTGTTTTAATGTTGTTTCCTCATCACAAACGTACATTGTTTCATTCACACGTTTAACGCACAAACCCTGCATAATTATTCTGAGTGGAAAACACTTACATAGGAAATGCACCACAGGGTTTTTAAACTCCATACTTTTTCACTAAAATCGTATGGACTATTTCAAACCTGGGATTTCCCATCTCTACTGAACTACAGTAGTAGCTGTTCACTTAAAAACTACCACTATATGATATTACAGTGAAGTGAAACAGAGCATTTTGAGCTTTGGAGATAAAGAATCATTCAAATATGTGTGAATGAAACTAAGGAGGTAATAACATTCTAACAGGGCTTAAAGCTCACAAGAATCTATGTTGTGTGAACTGGCTTTGTGTAATGTAGGACCTTCAAGGTACTAAAAACACAGATACTTGTTCACCAATAGCTGTGCTAAACTTTTTTGTCAAAATGCATAACATTTTATGGACAAAAACCTTTTTCTTGAGTTCCACACTGATTGCATTCGCCTCTTTTAGGAATATAGCGTTGCCCCACAGGAGGTCCCTGAGAGAGGTGAATTGGTAGAAACGCCACTTTCGGAAGGCCCACAGAGCTAACTCGGTGTCATGTTTTGTCCATGGAACTAAAGCATGAACATATCCAAGGTTAAATACATTTAGACAGAAAATTATTCTAAAATAAACAAAATCAATAGAGACCTTCTTCTTCTGGTTCCTCCTCTTCCTCTGGAGACTCCAAATACCGAGAATCCACTTGTTTTTGTAAAGCTTCTAGTTTACTCTCATAGTCCTATTGGAAATTACATTTTAATTTGTCAATACTGTGATTTATGGTTTAATAGATAAAAATAACAAAATAATTTCACCAGTCGCTGTTGCTCAAGTAAGTTACTGGCTTCTTCTCTTTCTTTTCTGTACTGATCCTCCAGCTCCTGTAGCCTGTAGAGTAAGAATGAAATATTGTTCCATTAATTGATGAAGTGCAATACATACACAATAACGTTCTGGTTCTCAATTAGACAATGTGAACAAAAATGAAAAACAATTGCCTTATCACATTCATACAATTGCAGTGAATTCATCATAATCACAATAATTGGATCACTCTTTTCTGTACTTTTAAACCAATGACATAAACAACATATTAATAATAACACCACATAAACTATTCCCTACCTCTGCTCCATTTCCTGCTTCATGTCTATGCCCTGTTTCTCTAGGAGTTCTCTCTGAGCGAAGGCCCAGTCCACCGGCTCCACAGGCGTTTCCGCACATGGTGTCCTCTCTCTCTCCATACGCGCCTGCTCCGGATCATTGAATCGGAACACATGGCTCTTTCCCATGATTATACGATTTCCTGTTAGGAAAAAAACAAAAAACAAAAAATATAAAATGAATGATTGAATAATGTTTTTACTTTGTCCTCTCGTGTTGATAATTGTTGATAGCTTGTTGATACCTGATCTTAGGACAATGGGAGAAGTGACCCTTTTTCCATTCACATATATTTCTGCTTCTTCACATGGCTCCAAAATAACACAACCTGATTAAAATAATAATATACAGAAGAATGACAAAATGAAACATGCATCATAATTTTCAAAGTTAGTTTCTGGAGTTCATACTTTCTCCTTGTGGGCCGGTTGTGCTTCCGAAGGTGCAGTGTTCATCTCTGATAAAATGACCACTAAGAACAATGTCTTGTCGAGTTTTTGCATTTTCACGGCCAACTCTGTGATAAGGCAAGATAAATCATGTTAAGCTGAAAATCTCAAATATTTATGCATATTTTAAAGACAAAAATCCTACTTGGTAATGCCATCTTTGATGTAATAGAGTAAACATTCAGACATCAGTGGATCCTCGTTCAGGTTTACCAAATGAGGAGTCTACAAGAATATCAAAGCATATTATATTAATCATCATCATCAACATCATCATCATCATACATTAAAATAATACCTTTTTAGGTGAGAAGACGCCCACAGTGCCTCCATCTTCTCTCATGGCCACACCCATTTCAGCAAGCAAGGCCTCTCTACAATTGTGAATTAAAAAACAGAAACAAAACTTACAGAAACCATATTAATCTATGTGCTGAATAAAAACATTCACTAGTTAAAGCATATTTTGAAAACTCACAAAACATCAGATACCAAAAAATAGATATGCCATGCTAATGAAATGTATTTACCTTTCCATACGAATGGCTTCTGTGCGCCTTAGTTTCTCCTCCCAGGTTTCATTAAGCTCTGCAATAATCTTCTCAGTTTCCTGTACAAATAATCATATAGAAATATATTACAGCACTTGCTTATTCTACTCAGACTCTGCATTAAAAGTCCTCTATTATACAAAATCAATTCTTTTTTAGCTTTGTCATGTTAATATTGTTGCCTAATCAAAAACATACCTTGAGTTGTGTTTTGTTTCAATTATCCTAGTTTATTAGTCTATTAGTCTGTGTACATCTCTAAATGTTAAAAGCTACCTTTTACCTTTTGTTCAGAAGAGATTAAAAATTCCAGGTCTGAAGTAATCCAAATTATTCTAGTGAAGGTGTATGGAGTTTAAAAACACATACATCCTGTATTACCACATGACATCACAAGGTGGAACAGAGGATTTTCAGTTTGAACTCAGAACTCAGCCTAAATATGCAGGAGTGTGTTAAGCATATGTGAATGAAACAAAACACAACTCGAGTATGTTTTTTGATGAGGAAACAACATTATAACATAGATCAGAAAATATCGTAATATAGACCCGTTAAATTGACTTCATAATGATTTCATACCTTGAGCCGTTCGATGGCCTCCTCGCTGGCTGGGCTGAAAATGCGGTCATGGAGGTTGCTGATGGACCCTGCGCGGCTGGATAAGGCTGACAGTGATGGCGAAGGGCTCATTCCAGTCATAGCGTGGGTCACTGTGGAGAGATCACCCCTTTGATTGACAGCCTGGCGATTATTCATAAAGTTTTTGTAATCGCACAGGTCTGTCAGAAAGAGAGGCGTTGCATGGAAGTCAGCACACGAAAAGGTAGGAGCAGACGCCGGAGAAGTAATACAAACGGGATTAAGGAACATACATGAAAACGGATTAAAGGGGAAAAAAAAGAAAACCCAGGGGGAGATCGGGGAGTACAAAAAGAAGAGAAATTTAAATGATAAGTCAAATAAGCTGCTTTAAAAGCCATTTCAAAGTAAAAGTCAGCTTTGATATTCACAAAAGAATGTTCAAGGTGTCTATTCTGATGTTTTAATAAATGCACATTCAGCAGGCTTACTGGCATGGTGAACTAATTACAATAAAATAAATGTGTAGAATGAATATTAACTGTTGTGCACGATGCATCATGTATGAGCTATTCAGCCTCAGAGTGGCTCCTGGCAGTGGCTCAGCACTTGACTCATGGCTTCAATGAGCTCTACACACAGAGACCCAGGATCTAAAATGGCGTCTTTAGTTCTGGCCTATTCTTCCATGATTTATGAGTTACCATGGAAATATAGACTAGAAATAAGAATCCTTTTGCTATGTTAAAGGTGCATTATGCAACTTTTTCGTTGGGGGTCCGTCACTTGCTTGTTTCTATGGATATGTCATGTCTCTGCCTAGAATGTTCCACAGTATGACATTACACAGGTCTGCCTTACATTTATTCAGTTACAGATGGTTTTATTGCTAAAAAAATTACTGTCAACAGTGACTGTTGCCTCTCCATAGATCTGACCTGTAACTTGGTCTTGTTTGCTTTCCATGAAGATAGAAAGGTTTAAAGCCATAGTGATAAACATTCCAGAGAAAGTAATAACATCTCCACAGGCAAAAGCAGGTGGCAGACCCTTCAACAGAAAAGTTACACAATGCACCTTTAAGACAAAGTCCATTTCTAAATATGACTTTAATTGGAATGTACTATTTCAAAAAAAGTAATATCAAGAAATTGATTTGGCTTCATGTTGACATCCTGGGGTGAGTTTCTCTGTTGTCGGCTTGAAAATGTTGAAAATGATAAGTATTAGTTGCAAAGCAGAGGCTTGCTGTTTTTATTACACACATTTCAAACCATGGATGATGGGGCCGGGACAACGATATGCTAATAGGACAGAGAAAAAACAATATACATGAGAGGCACCTACTCTGACTGTGCTTACCCAATCAAGACAAAATACGTTCTTGGATCACACTACATACAAATTCAAAGAATTGTGTATATGTATATTAGTTGTCTGGTATGTGTGCCTTAATGTGTCAGAGGGACTCACTCTCAATGATGTCTCCCAGGCCCTGAGCGTACAGCAGGTCTTTGAGACGAGCCACTTCCTCTTTCAGCTCACGCACCAGGCGGTTGTTGGGGTCTTCGTTGATCACTGCGTTACAGCGGATCTGTTTGGCACGGTCAGCATACCTACAGAAAAAGCCCAAAAGGTGGTGTAGAAAGATTTTTAATTTGTATTCTCAATGATATGTAGTTTTGTATTATATGTATTTATATGTAGAGCATGTTCTATATTGTTGACACTTATTATTTTAAAACCACCAATGTTTGTCTTACCGCAGAGTACTCAGTGTCTCATCATAGTTAATATCTGCAGGACTGAGAGCAGCCACCATAGCTGTCCGTGAGTTTCCTCCTAAAAACATTCACAAATGTTAAAATTAACAATGAAAAATAACTATTGTTTGCAATTCATACTTTGATTTTACACCATACCCAAGTTTTCCCTCAGAAGCCAAGTCAGCACAGAATCTCTGTAGGGAATAAAACTCTCCACTTTCTTCTTTTTCTTGTTCTAAACAATATAGAAGTTGTATTTAATTGAAAGTCATAAATGTGTTGTTTGCATTTACAAAATGAACCATGCATAAGCCTACCTTATTTGGTGCAGAATCCTAAAAGAAATACAAAATAACATTGGAAAAATGCAAGAATCATTTTCAACAGGATATAAATAAATAAATACAACATAATAAATAAATACAAATACAAAGACCTACCAGTTCAGCCAAAGCTGAAATAACTTTTCCTAATGTAGTCAGTGATTTGTTGATGTTTGCTCCCTCCTACAAGAGAAAAAATTGCAAATTCTAAATAAATAATGACTTCCTGAATATGTCTGCAAACACATTATAAAAAGGTTTAATCCGCACATACTTTCAGCCTGGTTCCTTTTGCTCCTGTTGAGTCAGCCCTTTCACTACCAGCCAAGTCCACAAGGCTAATTTTGCTGACCTGTGACAACACATATGACTTACACAAACTGATAAATATTTAAGCACTAACAATGACAGCTCAAACTGCTAATTATGCTCAAACTGCTATCTTTATTTAAAAGACTACATAATTATCAAATGTCGGTTGTAAATGGCCATAAAATCTTTTTACTCTTAGTAAAGCAGTTTGTTACACTTGTATATATATTCTATTTAATCAACCTTTTCTGAAGTGTTGTCTGATTCACTGTCATATTTCTTCTGTGTAAAGATAATGTTGAACACAGCATGAGAGCGGCTACTTGTCTCATTCATATTTGTAGCAGCCACCGTCCTTAAAAAAAAAGATAAAAAGAAAAAAAGGTTATCTTACTGGGAGTAAAGGAGATGTTTAGAACATTTCCGTCTGAATTTCATTACCTAGCTTTGTTTCCAGAGTCCATTAAGTCTTGGATGTCATTGTAAGAGGTGACAGCAAGTTTGGACAGATCCTCCACATAGGGTCCCATCAGAGGGTGCTCTCTGACCCGCAGGTTTCCTTTGTTTTTGGGGTTCAGCAGGTCACGCACGCGCTCACAGTAAATCTCCATATAACTCACCTGGAAGATTAGAAAAAGCCATTTACAAAAATAAATTATTCTTTTGGGGTTTGTGTTGCAGAAGATGAACTTACCTCTACAGAATATGACATGTTGTTATCATTATTGCTGTCACTGATCTTTGTGAAGAGGTCCTCGCAGAGCTTGAATAGACAAAAGATAATACAGTTAGATTTTCTTTGCATTTTAGTTACTCTTATAGGACCTCACACCAGAAAAAAGTTTGACACCACTACTGCAAAAGTGACAGTGGAGAAATTCAATTTGTCAAATGGACAAAAGTTTTCTACTCAAAGATGTTTCGCAGCTCATCCAAGCTGCATCCAAGATTAGAACTAAAGAAGTTCTAATCAGATTGTTGGCAGATACTGCCTTATATCTGCCAAAAGGGAAGTATACCAAAAAAATGTTTGTCCAGTTGATACATTTAATTTCTTCTTTTCCATGAATTCTACCTGGACGACTGAGGGATTTTACATACATGTTGATCAATGCTGTATTTGACTGACTGATATTATATAACAATTTACAGGACTCATAGAAGAGACTAACCAAATAAGCAATAGGCTGAAGAAATACTTATTTTTGCCTAAAGCTTGATGATAAAAAATAAAAAAACACATATTGGATTAAATTAAAGGTGCACTGTGTAACTTGTCTGCTGGAGGGTCCATCACTTGTAGTTGAATAAATGCAAGACAGATAAGTTTAATACCATACTGTAGACAAACCAAAGCTTTAACATCTTCATAGAGAAAAACAGATTGCAGACAATGTCCAGAAAAGTTACACAGGGTACCTTTAAGCTGGTAGAATTACATTAAGCTCAAAGACATTTTGACGTCTCATTTACCAAAGGTATAATGCCCTGCTGGTCTTGCTCCTGGCGGCCCATCATAGTGTAACTCTTTCCTGCTCCGGTCTGTCCATAAGCAAATATACACACATTGTACCCTTCAAACGCATGGAGCAGCATTTCTTCTCCAATGTCTTTGTACACCTGCATCTGTGAAGCATAGTTGATGTCCTCAGGCTGCAGAAGAAAAAGAAAAAAAAAATCTAGTTATCTGTAATGTCTAAATGTATAACAATCTGCAGTGTGTAGTTTAGCAGATAAACTTACAGTTGTGTGTGACCAGTAAGAGTAGTCAAAGTTGAAGCTCTTGTTTTCCTTTGGTTGTTTGGGGTTCAAGATCGCTGAACAAAGAAAAGCAACCAGATTATATATTGTATTATTTATCAAAGTATTTCTCAGACATCTCAAAGAAAATAATAAAATAAAACAGTTATTGCTTATTGAGTTTGTATAAAGAGTCAGGGAGGTATCACCAGTGGAAAGTGCAAGTGCAAAACCAGTGTGCCAGTAAATGTGCTAGATAATGAAATAGAATTGCATTCAAAGACATCTACCATCTATAAAATAAATCATAGCGTTGTACATGTAACTACTGCAAATATTATCAGAAATATATAACCATGTACCCTCTTGATCTAACAGAATCAGAATTAGTTTTATTGAAATAATCAGAGAACAAAGACCACAAACTAGAAACTTGCTTTGAAAATGTGGAAAATGGAGGTTTTTCTCCAATTCACTGTTTAAAAGAGCAATAAACAATTTCATCATAGAAGGCCCCATATTATGCTACTTTCTGATCTATGTTATAATGTTGTTTCCTCGTGAAAAACATGTCTGGAGTTGTGTTTTATTTCATTCACACATGCTTAACACACAAACCCTGCACATTTAGACTGAGTTCTCTGTTCTCTTTTCCACCTTGTGGAAATATGTGGTAATATAGGAAGTGTTCCACTGTGTTTTTAGACTCCATACACCTTCACTAGAATTATTTAGATAATTTCAGTCCTGGAATTGTCAGTCTCTTCTAAACAAAAAGTAAAAGGTAGCTGTGTGTAACTTGAAAACTACCACAACATGACATCACAGGGTGTAACAGAGCATGAAGAGCAGAGATGTTGATAATAATAAAGTGCTATTATGTGAATAAAAACACAGCTTTGAAGAAAAAAACAAAAACAAAACAGCTTTTGAAGAGGTAACAACACCATAACATGGCTTGAAGACAAGTCAATTTTGTGTAATATAGGACCTTTAAAATAAACAAATGATACAGAAGCATATGGATGTGTTCAACTGCTGAATGAATTGATTGATACATCCCACACACAGAGCAGGCTTCACTGGGGCAGGTCTGACTGAGGCTTTTGTTCACTGCCCCAGCCAACAAGAGGATTTGAGCCATTCACCACTGTTAGCCTACATGACAAATAACTACCGACCCGTGCCAAGTTATGCAGGTTACAGAGCGTACATAGTGGAACAAACTTCAACAAACACATATTTATAGAGAATATGTGCATATTATTATCTAGATAGATTATCCTGTGCTGTTTACAAAAACATTTGATAGAATTTGAGAAAAATGGGGCAATAATAATAATGTCATTGCCCCCTGGATACCCTGATGGCCCCCCATTTCATGTAGTCATCACAGTATTACAGTATATTACAAAAAGTGGATATTGAGTCGTGACTAGATTTTCTTCAGACACAGTGGGGCAGGTCTGTATGTGTGCCAAGTGTGTTTCGTATTCAGTATTTTAATTTCAGCTAACAAAGAACAATGTTATAGACCTGACTAAGCCTTTCAAAGCACTACACTATTCATTTGTCATATGTGATGGCCACAACTTCTGTGCCCACAACTGCCCTGAGGTAGACTGATGGAACCCCTCCAACCACCATCAAATTCTCAGTCACATATCACATCCACACAATGTAAGCTGGCAATACAACAAACTGCATAATTTTAATGACACATGCTACTTACTTGTTGTGTTTCCTGACATCTGAATGATGCATTTGCTCTCCTTCCCGATCTCCCTGGAGTTAAAGGGCCGGACCCTCACAGCCACTTTGACAGAAGCCCCCGCCATGATGCCTGAGGCTGAGAGAGCGAGCCGAAGTGATGGGGATCTGTGAAGCTACACACCAGTCACCTGCCCACAAACACGCATCAACAATATGACCTGTTAAATGAACCATTAACATCATGTGTCCAAACTCCATCATCATGTTTTCTCTATTAAAATGGCTGCTTATTCTTTGGGCATCCTAGCTGCCTTTGGCCTGGCTCTTACATCAGTAGCGTAGATTTATTAGGCCTGTATGTGTACTGTAAGCCTGCTTTGGACAAAGCATCATTAGGCCTTGATTTGACTAGACTGCATTCAATAGGCTCATTATAACATTCTCACAAACAAACACATGAAAATATCCAAAATTACATGTTATATCCCCCTGAAATATCTCGAACAGACCACACCTCAAAAACAGGCCTTGTAAACACAAACACCTGAGACCCCTATACCTACAGGCTGATACTGCGTCAGAAACGAGGTCAGCCTAATCAGTGCGTTTTACACATCAATCTCCGTTTGTTTGAACATTGTTAGAGAAGCAGACACATAACAGCATATAAGACATGTTATCAACGCTAGGCCAATTTTTGACGTCGCGTTCAATCTCGGCCTAATAACAAATGCTCGTTCATTTCCAAGGCGTGACATATTTTTAAGCTCCGACAATGCCCAGTTAATGATCACACCAGATAAAGTCCTTACCTCAACACTCAGACTCGAGCGCAGGAGCTGAATCCAGTGGCCATTCAAAACAACCTCATCCAGCAGGCTCCCAGCAGACAGCGGTGAATGCGCCTTTCCCAGTCAGTGCTCAGCCTACAGCAGCATCGGTCCTTTAGGTACGTCCAAACATGGAGCATCCGCCGGCAATGTGTGATGCGTCAATATGCACAAAAATGTCGAGTAGGAGGGAAGAGGAGCGGGCAGGCGCACGGATGAACGAACCGAAGATGGGAGCAGGACGCCCCAGCCACCCGTCGTCACCGTGTCAATCTGGAGATGGGGAAAATGGCCGCGCTGCTGAGGCAGGGATGCTGAGAGGCGGTAGTGACATCAGCATCAGCATCATCAGCACCGAGTACTGCTGCACACGCGCTCCTGTGAAACGCCACAAACAGGCTGTGTTTGTTTGGAGAGGTGGGACAGTGGGGACTTTATTAATCCACAAATGGGAAACAACTTGGATATAGGATAATACCTCAAAAAAGAAAATAGTATACTATTACAAAGAGCAAGTAGGCCTACATGCTATCTTATTAAAAACTGTTTCAAATAGGCAAAGATACAAGCCCAATTTTTGGTGTTGATAACGTAGGTAGCATAGTATTTTTGTAGTAGGCTGTTAATGAAACAAAAACACAACTCCAGGTATGTTTTTGAGAGGGCAACACTATTATAATATAGCTCAATACTCACAAGAGTCAGTTTTGTGTAATATAGGACCTTTAACTGAGGTAAAACTAGGCCTATATAAATATTTTTTACAGGTACTGCCCCACCAAACCTAGTAGCCTAATACAAAAACATGATATCCTGTCATATGCACTTTAAGCATTTGTCCTTCATTTGTGCTTCACCCAGTGCCCAGAGCAAAGGCCAGTGGGTGACATATCTAAACTATTTTGTAAAAGTGTAATGATTTACCTCATTTGGAGCTCAGAGGGGGACGCTTTTATCTTGGACTGATTTCATAGTCTAACTGAGAAAAACAACATGCCTGAGGAAATCAGGAATTAGGCGTTCTGTGTTATGGAGGATTACTGTAATCAGATGATTTATAACTAGTTACAATTGAGTAATCACTGTAGATTAAAGTTACTTGGGCTAGTAACTTTTACTTACTTTTTCCCTGCCAAAAAAAAAACAGATCATGAGATGTCCTCTTTTGGTGTCAGAGGAAGATCAGCTGTGAACCAAAATAACACAAATATTGGTTTAAGGAGGACTGTGTACGTCATCTTTGCTGACATAGGACATAGGTTCTACAAGACAAAGTGTCACCAGAGTGAAGAATTTGTGTTTTTTATAAGGTGGTTCCTGTTGTATGTTTTCTTTTTTCAAAGTAACTTAGTAATCAGTAATCAAATTACTTCTGAAATAAATAAATCAGAGTAGCCAACAAATTATTTTTAGAAGGAGTAAGCAGTAGTCAGTACTTTTACAAAGTAATCAGACCAATACTGAAGACATTATAAAAGACATTATAAACTACCATTTAAACCATTTGTTTGGTAGCCTGTTAGCCTGTTAGCCCACTTTCTGAACATTCTTGCTGAGGGTCTTTATGGAGACTCATTTATATAGAGGAGAAACTATAGCATGTTAATTATTTTAAACATACATACATGTAAAACAGATGAACTGTACACACAAAGATAATTCAGATTGATTTGATAACTGATAACACTGATAACATTTTATTTATTTATTTATTATTTTTAGTGCCATCACCACAGATCGACTACATCTGTACATACTGTACATATAAGAAAACACAACCGGATAACAGTTTATGTTCACTTTTTAATTATCTAGAAAAAAAATAAAAATAAAATAAAATATTTTTTTAAAAACACACATGGAGGAGCAAATGTAAGCCTTCATTGTCCTGTTTGATGTTTGATTTTCAACAAAAAGGTGAGTGTGACTAACGGTAAAAATTCAAAATAAAAATAAATAAATAAATAATGCTGTTGTGACTTAGCTTAAAAGTTATTTGAGAAGAACTTGTTTACTAAAAAAAACAGCTCTCCTGTTGTAATTTAAGAAATTCAGTTCTTTATGGTCAGATTGTGTAAAAAATGATTGTGCTTAATCTAACTTGAGAAGGCCTAACTGATTTGCACAGAGTAGTGCCTCTAGTTAGCATTACGGCTACACGCAAGGTCAAATTTTCATGGTATGATAAATATCCAAAAATAGCAACGGACTTTTTAACTAAAAAAGTGTACTACCATGGAATTGATACAGGTATCAATGAATACGCTGAGAGTTTGAGCAGGTGAAAACAACATGAACCTGAATTGAAAAGTTCAAATTAATATTGTGTTAATATGTTTGTGTTTTACTAGCCTGTCTGGCTATTATACCCTCACCTTTGTTTACCGTGCTATACATTTGACCGCTGTAAGTAGACCTGTACTATCATCAATGCAGTTATAACCAGCTGGGGCATGGTCCTAAGCAACACTATTACTTGAGCTCTGGTGGGCGTCAGTCTGTGTCACTGGGACGTCGCCTCTTCCCTTGGGAAGAAGCAGATTGGCTGTTGAGAGAGACACCTCTCTGTTACCTTTTCATGTGGGCAGCAGACAAAATCAATAAAGCGCATGTAACTGACCTGAACTGGTTCTGAGCCGATAAGCACTAGTGCTGTATGATCCAACACAGTTCAAAAAGTTCAAAGGTTAAGTCCCACAAATGGACCTGTAAATACAGGCCCAATGTTTCTTGATAGCCAACACGTGGACTATTGGATAATATGTCCAAAACACATTTATTGATTTGTATAAAGATTTAAATACACGTAACCTATATGCAAAAGGCACAGTTGTTTTATTCATTTAAGGCTTCAATCTGTTGCTATATACATAAATAAGGTTAAATAAGCAACCTATCAAGTATAGATATAGACAATTAGGCCTATAAATATATAGG